GTTTAGGCTCGAATTTGTGATGCTCCTGCGTCAGTCTCCAACTGGGATTACAGGCTTGTATCACCAATCCTGGCTTTTCCGTACGTTTTTAGGTACAATGTAACATTAACATGAGGACTTCTGACTAACTTTTCAATTAAAGGACTTAATGATTTAGCTCATGCTCTGGTAGGAAAAACGAGTTGAAAATGATGCATCCAGGGTCTAAATTCTAAATGACAACAGAGGAGATAGCAGAATATTTTGTGGCACAGAACTTTTGGTGAGGCATGAAGTATCTTTCTCAAAGTACAGTACTGAAGCAGTCGCTTTGTTAGTTCTCCTTGCTGCCAGTTTTTCCAGAACTGAGACAAGACTACACCATCTTCTCCATTTTCTAATTACAGTCTCTTATAATTTCTGCTTCATTTAATGATCCTAGAACACACATATCTACCATTGTCAGGAGATTCCTTCCCACCGTGCTAATCCTTCCTTATGTAATTTGTGAAAACCTTTCTTTGACTTCATTATTTTCCTGAGGATGAGAAATGAAGAACTGAAAATGAGCTGTGCAGATGATAATGATCAGTCTATAAAGATGGTGCTGAGAGAGAAAACAATCTAAATGCAATCCTGTTAGCCTTCCCACTGCCAGGCAGACAAGAAATGGCAGGCAATACAAGCCACCAGGTGGACATTCTGAGATTGGGGAAACACGCAAGAACTGTGGATTTTGGAAGTAGACTGGAATTTTACGGTCTGCCCACACTGCCTTTATCAGCCCTGTGTGGCTCATTAAAAAGAAAGCATGATGGGAGCTTGAGGAGGACTGTCGGAATACGAGGAGATAGACAAGATGTGGTGCCTAACATTATCCAGGTACTGCAAAAAATCACATCCACTCTTGGTTCAGTGTATACTGTCCTAGATTTAGCTAATGCTGTTTTCAGTATTCTTTTGCAACTAGACTTACAAGACCAACTGTCTTGACTTGCAAGGAAAAGCAATGGACATTCTAGATATTGTCTCAGGGATATATTATTTGGTTCCATTATCTTGATGGTAGCATGCTAACTGGATCATCCTCTGTTACACGACACAAGAGAATGATTGCACACATGAGGGAATATGCTATTAACTCCATGATTTGTACCACCTGTGAAATTCAGAGGGGTGGAAGTCTCATCTGGTAAGACACAGTTGATTCTGGGCATGGATTGAGAGAAAATGCAAACCTTCTCTATATGGTAAAGGATATACTGGCTTTTGTTGGACCAGCCAAGGGGCAGGCTCTGGACGTCCTTTTAGCAGGTGTCCAAAGCAATGAGATGACATCAGTATTGCTGACCTGAGTTTGGACTTTCTGGCAAGAGCAAGAACAAAATGTACTTCTAGGCTTTGGGTCACAGCTATGGAAAGGAGGTGAAACTGGATACCCCCATTTTAAAGTTCTTAGTGGTGAACAACGTGTAGCTACAGATGGAGCCACTGACTGGATGAATCAGTTATTTTTTTATGGAATCTTTGGTCCTCCTAACTTGGTCTCTGTTGCTCCTGTTGGACTCTAGACCTGGGGGTCCTCAGCTGAGTAAGTTAAAGGAAATACTTCAGGGCTACAGCTGGCCTCCAATTCGGGCAGAGCATTTCATCATCAATTTTAGGAGTCACTTATGCACCCTGTCCCGCTGGCTGACGCATGTGCTATGCTTCACTGCACCAGTTGTGTTTTTTAGTAGAATGATACCACCGAGTGGCAACAATTTACCTTTAGAAGTTCCTACTTATACAAGTTTTCCTGCCCAGAGCTGTAGTCTTTTGCTGTTTTCCCTGGAACTTCAGAAAAACTGTGTGATTGAAGTCAATCAAAGATATTATTTCACTATTTTTAAGGAATAAAATTCTGTTTCTCTGGACATATAAGTAATCCCTAGAAGCACGCAAATTATAAATTCCACTGATTTGGAAATACTGCAAAATATGCTAATTGATTTCATTTATACTACTAGTTTGTCTTGGTTTGCTGAAAAGCAAGGTTTGTGTTATTATCTGTTTGTTTCTTTTTGTGTAAGAATCATTTTGGTTTATGTCTTATACTCAGTAACTACTTTGAAGATAATGATACATAGTGTAATAATTATTGTTATTTGGTTATTATTTCCTCATGAAATTTTTTTTTCTAAAATAAAATAAAGCACCTTTACTTATACAACACTTGAGAAAAAGTAGAATTTTCCTTTCTTTTTCCACTTCATATTCTCTGTGTAACCTAGGTATTCATTATCTGCAATATTTCATTATTATGATGCTTCAGCAGGATGTTAATGTAAATATTAAATTTATTAAAAAAAAAACTCCCAGGAAATCCAATTTATATTTTATTTTGGATTTTTTCAAGTCAACAAGCTAAGAATAAAAGGACAGTTGTTTTATGGTTATTAGGAATGTTACAAAAATTTATCAACATGTAACTACATCTTAAAACTCTTAGACACTTTAAAGTAAATCATATTGGCATAATATACTTAATATAAGTTATCAACAAAAGTTTATGTAGTAAAACTAATTTTTATTTTCTAACAGCAAAATATCACAATACATAAAACCTTTATAATAATATGTATGGATATAATTCTAATTGATGGAATTATTATTTTTCCTTTCTTTAAAATATAACTTTTCTTTATCTATATAAGGAATAATATTGTAGCTTCTGTTTATGTTACAATATATGGTAGCACTTTGGACTTATAAATATACTGAATATAGAATATAGAGAAAAATTCATGAACTCACTGAGCCGTAAATTAAATATACTCACATCTTTCTTAGAATAAATACATGGCCCTTTTTGCCATTCCTTTGATCTTCAACTCCACCCAACTATCACCCTGTACTTTTTAAATCTTTCTCTCTCTTGACTAATCTCAGTGCTTCAACAGCTTTGATTGTTTCTTTTTAAAACCTTCCTCTTCACTATTCTAGATCTTCTTTCCAACCAGCTCTTCATCCTTGAATCTCTCTAAATGATTTAGGCATAACTGAATCGCATCCCCAGAGGAGCTCATCCATTTTGAGGAAGTTATCTGTCATCTCATCACAGGTGGGGCCTTAAGGTGGCTCTCAGCTCAAATGCTTCATAGGCACGTCAGTCTTATAATTCTTCCCTTGGTACACTTCCTCTTTGCTTTGCTACTTCTACCCCAAACTAACCAGCCTAAAATCAAATGCTTAATACTAATATATTTTTCTGAAAATACACTCTCTATGCGCGTTTTCACTTTGTTGCCATTCTTTCTGTTTCTTAGGCAGGAATCATTTATAGTCAATTAATGAAAAATGTAAGGTTTTCAGTAATACTGTAAAGCACTTTATTTCATTATTTTAATACACTGAAAGGTTTCTGGACCAAATAAATACGAGTGAAACCCTTGAAAGCGTTCACAATCCACTCGGGTAGTCAAATACAAGCTATAAGTCACAATAGTGTGAAAAGATAGTGAAAGAAATAATGCAGCGTAACTTGGTCAGGACACTGGAAGCAAGGAGAACATGAAAGGGAAATGCAGACTGGCAAAACACATTGTGAAACAATGGCAGCTTTATGATGGAAATAAAAACTACCAAAACTTATCTTTAATTATGCCAAGAAAAAAATAACTGTACAGGTTATGTGATTAAAAATTTAACACATAAACATGTGTAAACATCCGTTCTAGAGGCAGAGCTAAGTAATTCAATGGCAAGACCTGTAAGAGGAAGGACCTCTGTGTATCCTTGTCATGCTGTGTGGTCTGAACCAGAAGAGTGCTCAGCTTGGGGTAGCAACTCAATACACACTAGTTTCACTAATGAAACAAAGAATGATCAGGGATCGTGTGGTTGAGGGATCAGTGATGAGGAGTTTTGAGTTTTCGGCCTATAATGACAATATGAAAAACATCTGGTATCTTCAGATGCTTGAGGGTCAGAATTTGACTCTCAACCTAACTAAATTCTTTTTAGGACACCACATCAGAGAAAATTTTCCACATGTCTCTTTATTGCATTGGAGTTGCTTGCAACTCATATTTTAGAAGAGGCGATGGGAAGTTGTTTACACTTAGGTGTATTTTATTCTTTTCTACCTCTTTACAAAGTCAGCAGCTAATAAAATGTTGACTGACTCTGAAGAGCCAATTAAAAAGCTTACACACAGAAAATTAGACTCTCAACATACGCTAGTTTTCTGCAGTTGCAATACAGCCTAGAAAGATGCTAATCATGGAATTCTCAGGTACACATTCCAGCACTGGTGGTCTTTCTCTGCAAAGAGATTTGCCTGAGGAGACGTGGACTAGCGACAGGAGAAGTAGGGGCCAGGTCTGGGAAGATGTCAGAAACCGTATTTTCACCTGTTATTTATGATCCAGTATTGCCAAGTTAAGGAGAGCTTTTTAAAAATCTCTTCCTGGTAACTGAATAGCAAATGCTGGGCCCTGAATTTAAAGTTCTGTAGTTATTTTCTCACGTAGTTATCTTCTTCTGTGTTACATTGGTTGTCAAAAAGCACAAAACACCATTTTTAGAAATTCTCAGTCTCAGAAAAATCAGTTTTTTAAGTATAAAAGATATTATTATTTTTTGGAGTCTGCGTATATGAGCTTATTTAGGGTAGAAATCATGTCTTTTTAATTTACTGTGTAGAATTCAATAAATGGTAATTAAATTAATAAGTGAAAAAATGTGATCTACTTTTTTTGCTGGTAATATTTACAAGAAAATTAATAAAACTGAATTAGAAATTAAGATCAGCTTCATAAGTACAAAATTACAGAAGTTATATGAAAATTGGCTCTACCAATGGTCTAAATAGTGCATAGAAGATAGCTATGCTGACCACATTAGGCAAGCAACTTCACAATTTCCCTCTGGTCTGCAAAAAACAAGTTTTAATGCATACAAAAGTTACATATACCACATAGTAACTTTTATTAACACATTCTGGCTTAAAAGGGGACTTTTATTAATGAGAGGAGTCAAGTGACATGCTCTGTATCACATATAAGGAGAAGAGGACGTTAATAAAATCAAGATGATTTGCTTCTCAGGCATATCTTCCTCAAATACTTGATATGCTGACAGTAAATGCTCAAGTCATGTAATTATCACAGCATAGAGGAAGAATGTTTATGAAGACAAGGTCACTGGTAATGTAAAACAAAATGGTCTCAGCATGTCCATTATGAGCAAATGCTGAAACATTACCCATTAATGAATATTAATAACGTATTAAAACCTAGAATTAAATACAGGAAAAAGAGGACCTGCTGCCTAGATTCAGGAAACATCATCCTCAGGCAGTAGTTTGATACTTGATTTGAGTTTTTAGTTATTTTAAAGTGCTTTAAATATCTATGCTGCAGATATTTGGATAACTTTGCTTTGTAGAAGTGGAGGGTTCCTTACAGCTCTAAAATGAGTACCTGTAGAATGGCAACCTCATTACGAAGCTGGCTTTCTTGTTTTGTTGGAAATCTTAACTTATCAATGATCTTAATAGCCACATCTCTTCCTGTCTTACGATGTTTTCCTTTAAAGTAAAAGAAAAAAACATACAGCATCATTAAATATTAATATTAAAAAACACAAAAATTTATAAGGACAGTTATACAAATGATAAAAATGTTTCACTGAATAAATCAACATTTTTGAGAAACACTGACATTTTCATAAAAATTTAATTTCTTAATGCATTATTCTATATCAAATTAGCCGCAATTTAGAGCATAAAAGAATTGGGCCATGAAAAGCTATAGGTATGCAGCTGTCTATCAACTATCTAATATTTTCTCATAAAAATATGTATTTTAGACACAGGATATTGATATGCCCAGCGGAAAAATATTCACATCAACAGTAAAAATGCCTTACTTAAGAAAGTATAATTTTAAAGTACTGAAAAACTAATGTATATTATAGGGAAAAGCATTACATGAGTGTCCAAGTTTCTGGCACACCTAGGGCACAATGAACAAAGAGAAATGGTCTTGGGCTGCATATAAAGTATATGATATAGTTAATGTATGTAAGAAATGAAAATACTTTTCAAAAATACTTTTATTGTAACACTAAAAATAACAGAAAAAAAAACCCAATTCAATAATTAAATAAGGAAATGTACATGTCTGCTTAACAACAGTCAGTGCTGGTCTTCACAGGGGCACACGTACATAGGGAGAGTGAAATATTCATGGTAACTGATGCTTTGTACTAGTCATGTTGCACATGCGCACAAAGCGCATGCAACCTCTGAGCCTCACGGATTTCGCATTTCGATAGAACTGAACGTGACGGGCACAGCAGGCAGAGCTAGCACCGCACTGTGGCCACCCCACATAGCATTCCATTGTCATCCATGCAGGCTGCACTCAAGCACCATGCAATAGAGACATGAAAAATGTTGCTCAAAATCACAGACTCTTTTGAGGCTACATTATTAGCTGTCCAGGGTTGCACTTGAGCCCTGCGCCATGGGTTCCACACACCTTCAATAGAGCCCTGGCTCTGCCATTTACTAGCTGCATAATCTCAAGCAAATCACTGAATCTTTCAGGATTTTAGATTTCTTGTCTTCAGTGGTACCACTGTTGTGACGGTTAGGTGAAAGAAAAAGTACACCAAGTATCCACATAACACTCAAAGGAAATTTACTATCATCATCACCAGCATCATCATCATCATTGCATGATAGGTCTTTCTATATACCATACCCCATGCATTTCTCATGACCTTTTAGAAGGTCCACGGAGACCCCAACTCTTAACTTCTATACCACTATACTGTAGTAAGTACAGAATATAGTAGCATTGATTGAATCTGAAAACGTAAAATGTAAATGGAAACAGAAAATAGTTCTCAAAAGCTGTGGTCATATACAAACTAACTTGAAATTCTATTATTTCCACATTTGCTATAAATCTGGTGCTCTTTTATCCTACATCCTGTTCTTACTATTCATTCTCCATTCTTGGATGTTTTCCTGTGCTTTCCTTCACTACCACACTGCTTTGTTTTGTGACCTCTGTTTTCATAACATCACCCTTTACTCTGACTTGCTATGCTCTGTTTCACCTGTGGCATTTTTTTGCTGCTGCTATCTACAAAACCACAGCTTATTTTATCAATATTCCTCTGACACTATAGGGGTTGGCTCTCTTCTGAAAACCAGTTCACCTCTGCTTCATCCAATGGGTCTGGTTTTAATATTTTAGTTTTCCAAGTGCAGGGCTCCTCCTACACAGGCTCTTGCAGTGTTGATGTTCCAAATTATCTGACACTTGCTGGTCTTTCTGATCTAATTTCTCAACCCTACCTTACTCGCACACATTGTGCAGGTATATATGTCAAGTACCACCTCTCTTGTGATTTCATTTTTTGCATATTACTATGTAGAACAATAATCTAACACTTGGTCTCCCCAATCACACCAGTTAGCATTAACAAACAGCACATTGGTTGTTGATTCATTGACAGGTTTTCTATCAAAAAAAAAAGTCTCTGGAGTATTTTTATGAGAATCCAAATGACTTTGTAAAACAGAATATAACTTAGTTTTTAAATTCAAAATATGACATTGTCTAATCATAAGTAAAATTGAGGGCATCCTTATGATAAGAAAGTAAAATTTGTGATGTAATTTTTATCAAGGGAAAACAGGAGTATTGAATGTTACCTAAGTTTTAAAAATCTGATTGAATAGGTTAGAGTTTAAAACAGAAGTTCAAAGAAATTCACCAAAGACTTGACAGGAAGACAAAAGGTAAAAACCTAGCATTTTACTTCAGAAGTTAAAAGAAGTTAACTTGTACTGAAACAGATACATTGTTAAAGACATCACAAAGTTAAAGAAATTTTTGTGAAGTTAACATAAATAGATTTCTGTAGGTGTTCTAATCAAACATACTGAAGAAAGTAGAACTAATTTGTTTGTGAATTGTAACTTCCTTGACTTTTAATGTTTGCCTAAATAAATCAAATTGCTTCATTATTGTATATAATTTGTCAATATTTAATCAAAATCAGTTTTTTAAGGGTAGAAAACTTTCAAAATAGATATATACTAGTTTTTCAAAGAAGGATTTTCTAAAGAGATATTTTTAAATGGTAAAATATAAAAACACAAGCATACTTACACAAAGTCCTGGTTTTTAATTTCTTTCTAGAAAATATTACCTGTGTGGACTAACTTACCTCCGTAAACAATTCCAAACTGTCCAGAACCTAGTACTTCATCAGGAAAAATCTGATACACTGTGCTGATGTCCTTTGGGTACAAGTCCAATGAAAAACAAAAATGACAGGGAACAAAGTGTTATTCTTAATAAATTATATAATTTTATTTAAACGTATTATAAATACTGTTAAATATTTTACAAAATTATAAATGCTTGATAAAATTCCAATGACTATAGTATTCAGAGCATTTTAATTAATGTAATATTGTGAAAACTACTCTGATCTTAAGTGTTAGAGCTTTTCTTTTGCGCTATGAATATGTTTTAATAGAGAAAAATAAGATTCTAAAATACATAATGTCCTTTAAGTATGCAGAGAGGAAGTTGCTTGTTGAAATGGTATTTAGAAATTTGATTAAATGTTCATGGATTCCAGTCATGTGTCTGTGGGACATTTGGCGAGAATCATAAGGCTGCTCCCTGGTTAGTTGCCCACACCCACATGAATCTATATGAAATAAAGAGGGTCTGTGGCACCATGAATGATCAGAGAAACTCTAGAAGAATGGCAGCCCACCATGAAAGTCTTATCTGTGAAGCAGCCACACAATTCCATTTTTATCATTTCTGAAGGTAAAAAGTTCTCAAACTCTCCTCTCTTCTGTGTCGAAATAATAATTTCTGAATAAAGGATGATTTTCACCTAGATTGTGATTGACTGCTGAAGAGTTCATTTGACACTCACTATGAAGTTGTCTAATTTCTCTTGGACTTTTTGTTTAAATTTATGCAAATTTGGCAAGTGTTGCAAAGATACAGTTGTGATGGATAGAGCTTAAGCAGGTCTTCTTTCAAAAGCAAACTCAAATCAGTAGTACCAAGGCATACATGCCTTTCTTTTGGTCATAGGTATAGTGGGAAAAATAGAACAAAGGCTTCAAGTCACTAGAATGAGGTGGAAAAGGCCTTGTGACTTTTTGGCTACAGGTATACTGACAATATAACATAAAAAGCAAATGTGATAGTGATAACATTTCTGATCTGTAATTTTCAAGAAACAAACGGAAAGAATGGATTTGGTTGGCACAGGTGATTAGGGTGCCAGAGTGTGGACCCGTGAAGTCCGATATATGAAAATTTCTTGAGGTTGCCTTGGTATGCACAACTAGTTGAGCTGCAAGAGGGCCTGCAGTCTTGGTATTTGACAGTAATCCTAGGTACAAAGGGTGAGAACAAAGGCATGGTGAAACTATCCATGCAAGTCAATGAATTTATTTTATTTGTGTATTTATTTTGTTGTGCAACACTGACCATTAAAATTTCAAAATCAAGGGCTAGGGGTATAGATCAGTGGTAAAGAGATTGACTGAGTGGCATGTACCAGGCCCTGGGTGAAATCCCTATTACTACCAAAAAAAAAAAAAAAAAAGAGAGAGAGAGAGAGAAAGGTAAATATGTGAAAATCAGGTATCACATTGTAAATGCCTGTCTTCTAGGATGAAAATAGATAACTATTGCTATAAATAGATAACTTGTTATTGTTATAAACTGGTGCTACATTGTGGACCAGATTATAACAAAAACATAAACAAACATATCATAGTATTTCCTAGAATGAAAAATATTCAAGTAGATACTTATTTTGCTTTCAGGAAAACATTGAAAAATTAAAACTTCAGATTAATAAAAATCTATTTTATATTCTTATATTCTAATAATCACATTGCTGAGTTTGGTATTAGTATATACATACTCACCACATTTTCTTGAATCTGGCAATTTGATACAGAAATGCTCAAAGAAATATCTTCTGGAAATGTATGTTGAAAATACAAACACAAAAATGTCAGTTGAAGAAGTAATAGCAAAATAAGTAAATATCATTCCTATAGGACTGGTTTTAAATAAATCATAGCAATTTCCATTAGGATATTTGTTTCCTTTTAAAGCTATAAACTCATTCTGTACTTGGTTTTCAAAAATATAGAATTTTGTCAGTTTAGGAGTCAGAGGACTTGGGTTCAAATACTGATCTCTCTAGACCAATTTCTTTACCTGTAAAATAGGCAAATCATTAACTTTCTGGGCTTGTTTTAGGCATTAAAATAGAGATCTCAGGTGAAATAAAAAATAATCAGGCAAAAATAATCACAAACATTCTGTGAATGTGTTGGCTGTAGAAACCTTTATGACACTTAAAATTACACTTTTCTACAGATAGTCCTCTAAAATTCTTTTTACAGTTCATCCACAATACTTTATCCTGGTTGCATGGTAGCAGATTAGATCTTTTTTACTAATGAACAGAGGTTTACTCCTCGAATAAGATTATCAAGAGTTATTGAGTAGTTCTCACACTAAGAGACCTGTATAGATTGCTATGTTAGCTGACTTTGGGGAAATAAATTAATTCCTATTTGTGGCATTCTAGATCAAGCACAAACTGATTAGATGATTTCTTTTATGACTGATACCTCTAAAGATCTGTAATTGCCTAATACACAGGAGTATGCGAATTTGTAAAAAAATAATAATAATAATGAAAGATCAAGACAGTGGAAAGCTAGGTGTGGTGATGCATGCCTATAATCCCAACACTCCAGAGATTGAGGCAGGAGTTCAAGACCAGCCTGGGCTACAAAGTGAGCTCAAGGCCAGCCTGAACTGCATAGCGAGACCCTGTCTCAAAAAGAAAAAAAAAAAAAAAAAAAAAGACAGTGGAGCAGCTTCTACTTAGAGGTGCTGTGTTTTCCAACAAGCTAAATCCACCATCAAGGACTTTTTCTTAATTTTGTTTTTGGGAAAGTCAGAATATCTGTTTACTGAGTCAGAGGTGGGCAGATTGAGCTTCGTGTGAGCTGACAAAAAGGCGGACTTACTGTGTGAGCTGCTTCCTGAACTCACAGAGGAGCCCTTGGGGATGACGGGCATGAGGGCATGCTGGATGGCCATCTCCCACCTCCTGGCCACATCTGCACCAACGCCGCTGGTGAGGACACTGTTATTTGGTGGGGGGCTCGAAGGGTTGACCACATCTTCACCCACATAATACACTACATTTGTCGTAGTGATTTCAAAACAGTGAGGATTAACTCCATTAGGAATTGATGCTGAAGTTTTTGCTGCTTCCAGAGATAAAATTTCTGACAAAGGAATTTCCTGTGGAAGGAACGGTGTTCTCAATGTAGTTTTGCAAAAGCATGTAAACTTTTAAATAAAAGTTCACACCAGGAACAGTGAGAAATAACATTATAGTCACCATCTGTATAAAATGTTTTTTTAAAAATTAAGTAATTTTCATAAAATTAAAAAATATTTTGATAATAGGGAGTCTTAGTATCACCTTTTTTCTAGAAAATACAAGTGATTTTTTTAGTAATAATCACATGTCAGAAATAAGCATGGTTAAAAATAATGGTTTTGAATCTTTATCAAAATCCAAGACTTGGAACATGAATGATAACATTTTAAACTGTAAGGCAAAATGATAATATTTTTAAAATGCATTTAGGTTTACATCACTGTTTTAAAATGTTTACTATTTAAAGTACTGAAAGGAAGTAGGATTTGATTCAATACATGTTAATACAAATACAAGTGGAGAATTTTAATGAGGAAAAAATTATAGCCCTTGTTTTATTTTTTATTTTTTTGGTTTTTCTCCGGTACCAGGTACCGAACTCATGACCTTGCGCTTGCCAGGCAGGCGCTTTGCCGCTGAGCTGAATCCGCAGCCCTGGCCCTTGTTTTTTTTAAAAGTGGTTGTTTTAAAAACCATACAAATATTAAATAATTGCCATGTTGTCTCCTAGGAAGTAAAAATGACTAATAATTAACATTTAAAACAAAATGCTTAATTTTCTATTGCAGCTAATGTAAAGTGGCCGTGCAAATTCAGATTAACTATGCTGGAATCTGCACTCATGTTAAAGAAGTAAGTATCTACTATTTCCATCTTCAGTTTCTTTCAGAGTCGTGTTTTACTGTGTCATATATTATGCCACCTCTGTATCATTTAATGTAGAGAGATGGAAAGAAAATTGCTGCCAAGTATTCCTCTAGAGGAAAGTGTTCCTTATAAATATTGGCCAGCATGAAGAAATCCTACAATGTCTCAGTGATGTGCTGGATATAATGGATACCAGAAATTTACTTTTAGCTCATCTACTATGACCACTGATTTCCTAGTTAAATCACACAACTGTGCTAAGATATTCAATTAAGTTTCCTCTCCCTTCTTCCCACCATCTCCTAGAGCTGCAAGGGCTCTCTGGGAAAATGTGAGATTTGCAGATGAATCGAGAGCTTACAAAGAGATTCTTAAGAAATCTGTAAACTGTAGACAAGAAAAAAGTATCTCTCAGAGGAAGCACAGAAATGGTCGTGTCTGTTGGACATATTTCACATTTCCGATCCTCTGCATGCTGATGAAAAAGCAGGAAAGGATATCGAACTACAATCAAAGCAAGAGCCACATTTACCTTGTAGTACCTGCTTCCTGTGTCATTTTGGAAGAGTGTAATGCATTTGCTATCCAATCTCCAATAGTGCCGTTTCCTCTGAAATAGAAGTTAGATGCAGGATCTGTTGAAAGCTTTAAATATATTCTAGGTTGGTAAAAATAAGCACATTTTCTCAATGGGAAAATAGAAACTGGTGGTGGAAAATGCATGGGCTTTGATTAAGACAAACTCGCACTCAATTTGACTTTAGAAATTCACTACATAGCAAATGTTGTGTGATGTGTTTCTGCATCTACATCAGACAGTCATGAGTAATAAAGAAGATAATGTATTACCAACCAGGGAAGTATCTGGCCGTCAGTATGTGCACAGTCAATGGCAAATATTTTAAAATTTGACTGCTTGAAGAGCTAAAGATGTATTTATAGTCTGTATTAAAACAAGGCTTAGTAAGAGTTATGATGTTTATTCATGCTTATTTTAGAACATAAGAAATGTCCTGCTGATCTAGCCAGGTATTTTGGCTTCCATTACCAATAGAAGAAATCTGAATGTTACAACAGAACTAAAGAATACTTTGTTGGATGGAACCTTGACCCCATGACACCAACTTAAAGTTAAAATAGTGTATCAAGCAATTCTGCCTTCTCTTAAGCTCACTCCATACCTATTATAATTTGGTGATAAGGTTCTTGTTGAACCTAGGTAAATCTTTCATATTAGGATATGATGCATGTACATGTGTGTGTATTTTCATATTTTTTAGACCCAAAGCCCTCCCAACATTATTTGTGGTTTCCTGTGCAACCAATCTTAGACTTATCAAATATATTAAATATGCTTCAAATATCCTATAACCTGTCAAAGAAGAACTAGATAGTATTCAGTTGAGTCTCACAGTAAGTCTAGATGTTATCATTGTCCAGCAAGAAGCCTGAGATTACAGATAGATCAATTAGGTTATGTCATTTAAAGACATGATGAAGACCCTTTCAATGAGAGGAAATAAAGCAAGCACTATCAATGACTCACAAATCAGCCTTTCAATTAGTTTAACGTTGAAATGGGGGTCAAGACATGTAAATGACTCAAGTGAAGCACAGGATGACTATGCTCCTGGAGTTTTACTATTTTATATGAACAATTAAATATTTAAGAACTAATTAATAGTCATCACTGTCTTTTCCTACTCCCTAAAATGCAGTGTTCCTTTTATAACTCTCTATCACAGAAGAGTAGTGTTGTGATGTAGATCTAGAATGTTCCCCTAAAGACTCCTGTGCTCAGAGGCAGGGCTTTGGGAAGGTAAATGGACATGGCGACCCTATGCTCTTCAGGGAATTAATCCACTGTGGAGTTCAGAGCTGAGCGCGCTGTTAGGAAGTGGGCTCTGGTCAGAGGACGTGGGTCACTGGCTTGTGACCCGGAAGGGTTTATCTTCATCTCCGCCTCCTCCTTTCTCTGTTTCCTGGCTGTCATCAGATGAGCAGCTGCCCATTCGGCCATTTAACTGGGCTCTTCCTGCCTTGGAGCCAACTTGCCATGGCTGTAACTGTGAGCCAAAATAAATCTTTTCTCCTTTAAGTTGTGAGTGTGTGCTTTTGTGTCTCACAAAGGAGGAAGCTGCCTGAGAAAAGTGCTCTGAAAGCCATGCTGCCGCTTTGCTGGCCACTGGAAATAACAGGTGGGCATGCAAGTTGTCTGGGGACCATTTCAGTAATCAGGGTAGATGATTTGGTTTTCCCGAAACTGCTTTCTATGCTATTTTTCTTTTCTAGTTCTGGTGCTTGTTCAACTTCACATGACCTCCAGAATCTGCAATGTCTTCATCTGATCCTACACCATGAGACACCCCACAGTCCTCAGAGGGCGCCAGCAGCTTCTCTGAGAACAGTCAGAGCCCATGACCTGCTGGCTGTGAATCTTACCAGTGTGTCCTTGCTGGTGTAGTGGACCATCCATCCTTCCTTCATCACCGAGCTGCTTTTCCTCTTTGTGTGTTTGATGGACTGCACCACCCTCATGAGGGGGATATTATTGCTTGTCGATGGACTTGAAAAGCCAAAATATTTTGAGAGAGAAAAGTTCTCAGATTCACATCTTTTCTTAAATAAAACCTTATTTCAATTATGTCAGAGCACAAGTCAAAAAATCTCACATCTCATTTTCTTTTTCATTGAAAGGTACTGGCAGAATAGCGCAGTTCAGAAAATGGGGTACTGGGAAGAATGCTGGGCCTTAAATGTACCTTTCAAAGATCTCAACATAGAGTAATAAGTACCTTGTTTTGGGTTGACCCATATGCTCAGTTTTCAGTTGAACAGTAGATGGCTATCAATGTATTGAAGCCACAGTATTCACACAAGAAAGCTTATTTCCTTATTTATTACAAACTACATGTATATGGTTATTCACTTATAGGTTGTATTTTTCAAGTGAATTTTAGTCTCTGAGGAATTTCTTAAAAATTACAAACTGCTTTCTAAACTGTCTTTTACATTATTATTATTCATGGAATTATGCTGGTCTCTTAGTCCCTGCCCCAAACCCCACAATGCGCCTCTCTGTCCCTGTCTCTTTCTGTCTCTGTCTCTTACCTCCTGTTACAGGTTAGATCTAGGATAGCCGCTGGGGCCTCCTGTGTGTGGAAGGTGTCTGGACCATGGGGGTGCAACCACTGATGATGTCAGTGGCTGACTGTGCTATGAGGAGCTGAAGGTGGTCACGGAGGGCAGGATGTGAAAAAGTAAATTTGTGTCCCCAGCTCTTCTGGCCATTCCTATCTCTCTGTTTCCTGCCTACCACAGCTGAGGACCTCCTCTTCCCCCGGGCCCACTGGCCAGCCCATTTCTACCTTGAAACTGGCCAGCTACAGACTGTGAGCCAAAACAAACTTTTTGCCCTTCAAGCTGTGGGTGTTGAGTGTTTTGTACCAGCAAGGGGAAAATAACTGAGACACCTTTCCTCACCCGTGCCTCCTCGCAATGCCAAAGCCTGACAAACTCCCTTCAAAAGGGAGTTAGGTAATAAGACTAATATTTTCCAGCATTTTAAAAATGTTTACTGTACCATTAACTGGAAAAAAAAACTTGTCCTTACATTTCTCTACTCTCATGAACAATTTTAGTCTGTCAATGAATTTGACATTTCTCAAATGGACACAAATGTTGTATTATGCTTTATAATATAAATTAGAGGCCGAGAGACCTTTTCTGTAGAAGAGTAGGTAATAAATATTTTAGGCTTAATAAAATACCTAGCTGTACTATTGTAGTATGAAAGCACCATAGAAAATATGAGTGGGCAGAGCTATCTTCCCAGAAAATGAATTACAACATGGGTAACGGTCCAATTTGAACTGACTGTGCCAACTCCTGATATAAAAAGTGAGGGCTAGCTAGTGGTGAAACAGTAAAGATAACATGCAAAATTCTAGCTCAGAAATGCACACACAAACAATAAGAAAGGTGTAGACAGTTTGTGATATTTATAATAGGGCAGAACCATCAAATAGACCGGGTCTCCCTGGGCTGAGAACCCTGTGTATTTCCACATGAGGAACTCTGAGTTACTGTTAGTAGAAAGCTGTGGACGGCAAATACCAGCATCACTTACACACCAAAGACAAGGATCTATGGATGGTGCAGTACTAGGAAAGGATGCAAACTACATTTCTAGGGAACCTGGACCGCTGAACTCCAATGATATGCACCCACAATCCAGCGGTCATTCACAATGGAACTAGACATACCTCAAATTCCTTTTTAGGTTGAAATACCACACAGTTTAAAGAGTAGATTCCACACAGCTTTCACTGTTAGGCTGAGGCTGGCATTGCTGCACTCACCTGATAGTTCTGTTGGAGTCTTCTTGGTCGGGGTCTACATCTTGCATTTCCCCACCGTCATTCTGGCCCTCTGCCATGGCCATCTCGGCATCTTGGACCATGGCCTCGTCCATGTCATCCATGAGTCCACTGTTTCTCTCACTGTCATTATCGTCGCTCCCTTCCTCCATGACCACATCAGATTCTGCCCCAGGGCTCAGCAGATCTAGGAAATTGTTTTGATCCGTGAAGTTAAGCCTGGAATCTTGGAGGCAGGGGTTAAGAGAAAGGGGCTCCTAAAAATATGTAGTCCTGGGAAGAATTTATCTTTTCACTTTAGTTCATAAGACTAGAAATGCATGTGATGGTGAGTGTGTAATTTTTTCAGGCAGACCCTTATTTTCCATTTTCCTAACCCTAAAAACCTGACAAGTCCTGGAGAGCTTTGGAAGGAAGCCAAAGGCAGGACAGAAGCACAGCCCTGGGAAGCAAAGTGGTACCAGACACAAGTCACCAGGAAACTGATCATATTTCACAGCACAGCACTCATGGGAAAAAGAAACACAGGGGAGGATGATGGAACTTACTGCATGAAAGACAATTGTAATTCTGCTTTGTTTGTATTATTCTTCTGCTATTTTGTAAATGGATGTCTATTTGTTAATATGTTTTCCTTCTTTTATTTTTAAAATAAATTTTTAAAAAATGAAAACTCTTGCTATCCCAGTAACTTTTAAAATCATGGTTTCCAATATATTACATTGTTCATGGAAGCTGCAGTTTTTAAAATACCTAAGATATTTGATAATTGAATATGAACTCTATTGTTAGGTACAATAGTTGATCTTCATGCAAAAATTTTGACTTGTGCAAACTACTTATTTTAAAATTAGGGACATGGGTCAATCAGAGACTCTGGCTTGGCAAGCTTGGAAAGTACACATTTTATGGAATTTTTCTGATTATATGGGAAAACGCAATTTCAAAGTACTCAACATCTAACGCTGCTATTTCCCTTTAGTTATAGCTATCAAGTACATACTGATATTCCCTGGGATCAAACAAAGTCAATATTACATTCCACAGAAAATAGGAAAATTGCCAAGTTTTTAATTTGAGCAGCTAATTCATGAATCTCCGTTCCAGAAATTGATATGTTTGAGAAAGTTTTCTTAGACAGTGATTCTTTCTTCTTTCTCTTTGTCTAGGAATATATATTTTTTCTAGAGAAGAATGTCCTACAGCAAAGCCACTTATTCATTCTTCAGCTTTTTTACTAACAAAAATATTCAATTTGTGTCTTTGGTCTTTTACAGCTATTTTTCTTTCCAGAGGAACTGAAGAATGCTATTAGATTGTTTTCGGAAAACTGCAATAGACTGAAGGCAGAAAGTAGTTCACTATCTAAGCAAAAGGCTAGCCCGGAATTCTAAGCCAAATATTCTGATAGCAATCCACTAGAATACTACCTAAAATGAAAGTGTGAGCTGTTCCTTTAGGGCATAGCATTTTTCTTAGAGGAGTGCTTCAGAGTTAACTGACATAGAGTTTTCCAAAGAAAACATTTCCAAATATAGAAAAAGGCAAGTTTTTTTTAATTGGTCAACTTGAAGTTTTTTGTTTTTGTTTTTTTTTACTTTTAAAGATGCAGGGGGCTGGGGATTTAGCCCAGCGGCAAAGCGCTTGCCTGGCAAGCGCAAGGTCGTGAGTTCGGTTCCCGGTACCGGAAAAACAAACAAACAAACAAAAAAAAACAAAGATGCAGGTTAGTAATCACAGATATAATGGAAATAGTAACTGGGGAGAGGATAGAAATGAGAGATTATTTCCTTATAGACCTGTGTCTGTGATGCTTTCTGTGCTCTGTAGACAGGGAAGAAAATTAAGTTCTGCTTTGATGCTTGGGTTGAGAACAGAGAACTAGAGTACAGAGGTGTAACCTGTAGACACTTTAATGATTCTGAGCAAATTAGGATAGAAGCATAAAATAAGAAAGCTAGCAAACAAATTGTGGACATCTAAGTTTACAGTACTAGATGTTTACCGTGCAAAGATGAAGACTCTCAACCAGGCACACACCTGTAATCCCAGCAGTCTGGGAGACTGAGGTAGGAGAGTCACAAGTTCAAACCTAGTCTTCAACAGCTTAGCAAGTTTAGCAAGGTTTTGTCTCAAAATAAGCCCTGGATTCAATCTCCAGTACTGAGGAAAAAAAGATTTTTGGTTTTATCCAATTTTGATGAGCTGAAATAGATGATTTTTCCATTGTGAAGAATTACTAACTCGGATCATAATTCACTTCAGCTGAGGTACAAACACTGAAGTGAAAAAAATCTAACAGTAAAAAGCCTTGCTACACCATAATGGCCACACTCTCTACCAGCAAAAAGCAAAGCAGAGATGGGACCGCTGGCCTTTTACCTACCTCCATTGATGGTCACTTCGCCCAGGCAGTTGTTGGGTACTTTTGGTGCACAACGTTTATGACAGTTGAATCTGCAATCTAATCATAATGATTTTGAAACACAACAAACAGATCAGAAATTCATCAGAAAAAGAAGGTGTGAAATAAAAACAAACACATTTCAGATGGATGAGGATTAATTTAAGGATTAAAAATTGGCTGGTGACAAAGATGAGGTGACAAGAGCTTCCTTACCTTTGCACTGCAGGCCCTGCCTGAAAAGACCCTTGAGGAGCTTCTTGCAGTACTGGCATACCGTGGGCCGGGTGTAGGAATGGATGGCGAACGTGTGAGGCACTTTAACCTTAGACATCAGAATCTTGTCGAGCTGAATTGGTCTTCCAATGTAGGACTGAGAATTTGACCTCTTTTCTCGACCAATAAATGACTCTGATGGTGACTTTTGCTACATGTTTAAAAAATAATAAAGGACAGTATGATGAAAGAGATCGTTACCAGATTTAAATATTTATGTACTTTAAAATCTCATTTTGTTTTGTGGTTGCATACAAGATAATCTAAGTCTATGTTTCTGGTAAATAACATAATTTATTACCTTCTCACTTCCTATTTGAATTCCTCTGTATGGTTCAAGAGGAAGAGAAATGGGCAAAAAATATTTGAACCTGACTTCTAAGACTTTCTTTTTAACTTTATAAATTTATTTAGTTACAAAGAGAAATACAAAGATGATAGTAAATAAAGATGGTCCTCAATCTCCCTCATTGGGAGATCATTTCTCCACTGGCATGGTCTTCAGTACTATATGAACAAGGCTAGAAAATGCAAGCAGTTCTGAAAGAGAAAATGAAAAGAAAATACTCCTGTTTGCCCTGTATAATGTTGCTGAAAAAAATCTACACTTCCTTTGGATTTCCCCAAGGAAAACAATTAAATAAGATTTTGAATTATTTTTTAAGTATATAAATAAGTAAAATGTTAAAATTATGCTATAATTTCTATAATTGAAAAATAGTAACTTTTGGATTGTAAAAGGCACAAAACACTTATGTTCTGGGGAATAATTATCTGTATGTACTCTTTCTCTGACTTTGGAATTATTTCATCAACTCAGTTTCTAGGCTTTTGAAATTTAAATATATTAAAATAAACTGTTGTTTCAATGTTTTTAAACACTTTCATGGTATCTCTTGATAGTATGCAAATGTACTTGGGACATTCAGAAAAAATGTACTTGGGAATTACCAGGGTAAAAGGAGACCTGGCTTACTTCTTAATAATCAGAACAAATACGTCTTATTTATTAAACACCTACTCTATAGTAATACTATATTAAGTTCCTTAAAAGAGAGATCGTGTTATCTACAAATGAAGCATCTATGTTCATAAAGTTTAAAAACATTCTTTAGGTCAAACACTAGTAAATAGTGCAGCCAAAGCACAAAGCTTTTTTGTTTTACCTCTAGAGCCCCTGTATTACTACCTTAGCCATTAAATTCCTAATTTTCCACAATTATTGAGAAGAGAAATAAATCATAATTATATATGATTTCCATTGACTTCAATCTCTGTGTGACCAAAAGTTAATAACACTTATTAAATGGGAAATCTTTGTTTTACAGATTCAATAGCTACAGTATAGACCTGGGTTGAGGCTTTCCATAAGGATACTATATCTAAAGTAACATTTATAATTATTCAAAAGTAAAGGAAAACTATACAGCATAATTACTCTGGAAAGTTTCCCATAAGGAAGTCCACAAAGCTTAGAAATAGGCCATAACAGTTTGCCAAAAAAGAATCATAAATATATTTAATAAATACTTTCAATGGAATCGAAGGATAATTAATTTCATGCAGTTAAGTTCCTGTTATAATGTCCAGTATAACTGTAGCCAATGGGCCAGTTTTAAAGATAGAATAAAATGAAAGTGATAGCTTTCCACAACTGAAATGTTTCAACAGAATAAAAGATGTTCTGAGGATGTCACACTCTTAGTCAATTTAAAACATTCTCAGGGCTGGGGATATAGTTCAGTGGCAGAGTGCTTGCCTAGCATGCACAAGGCCCAAGGGTTTAAGCCCCAGTACTACAAAAAAAAAAAGAAAAAAAAAAAGCTCAGACAGAAAATCCTACAAAAATAATGCCAAATTCATTCTTCACTTACTCTTTTTAATTTAAGGTACTTAATTATGGGCTGTGTTTACAGGGCCAATTTGATACATGAGTATTTACTGTACCTTGGGACAAACTCACTCCGAAGAGCAAGAAGGAATCTTGGGTCTGGCAAACAGAATGCTTCCCTCTCATTAAGTATGGTGACATTCACATAAACACCGCCATAAACTGAAGGGGCCAGACTTATTCTTGAGCAGCTAGTTCATTTATTACTTTCAAGACAGGATTATGTAAGGGATTTGAATAAAAAATAAGTTTAGGGAAAAGAGATTGGCCATCATCACTCTGTGCTCGGAGCCTGTTCTACACACACATGCCTGCAGTGATGAACTTGTTATCCTCCTGCCTCAGCCTTCAGCTTGCTGAGATTACACTCAATCTTCCCTATGCCCAGCTGATCGCTGGATCTGAAAATAACCTTGAGATAACAAACTTTATTTATTTATTTATGTATGTATGTATGTATGTCTTTTTTAGACAAGTTTCCCCTGTGCAGTTCAGGCTGGCCTTGAGCTTACTTTGTAGCCCAGGTTGGTCTCCAACTCATAAGGATGCTCCTGCTTCAGCCTCCCCAGTGCTGGGATTACAGATGTGTGCCACTACGCCCAGTGAGATAACAAACTTTCAAAAGTGATTCAAAACACCACTCTGGCAGAAATTAACAGACTTTTTCTTTGAATATAATGCCTTATTAGTCAAAGCATTTCTTTATTAGCTCCATTTTTCTCACTTGTGTATTTAATTATAATGTGGATAGTATTTCAAATTTTTAAATAATATCTTTCCTTAAAGTTATCTCTACTAAAGAAAAAGTTCTTTCTCACACATTAGTGCAGGTTTTACTAGGTTTGTTAGGTTGGTTAAATGGTGTTTAAATACATAGCCTCTACTTAAGGGTCCAGTCTGTCCACATGCATTCACTGAATTTGGGAAATATGAAGAATTTTTTTTTTTTTTTTGTAAAAAAAGGAAATTCTTTGGAAAGAGAACAGATGCATCTGTTTTATTTCTGCTTCATTAATATGTTCAGAGCAAAAAATTGGCTAAAAACTTGAAAAACATTTAACATTTCCATGTCTATAATTAAGGAAAACACATACAGGAGGATGAAATTCTTAAAAAAAATTACATTTGTATATTAGGCAAGGAAGTGTCATTTTCTCACTGGAGGAATCTCGATTAAATTACAGGTACCAAATTAATGTCATAATTGACATACATGTAAAGTGTGGGATTGGTACAGATATATGTAAATGATTCAATCTGGCAAACTGTAGATTATGAAAAACACAAAAGGCTTTTTCTGTTCTCAGTGTAAGAGATATCACATCCCAAAAGGGAGAGACTGTGAAAACAGAAAAATGATGAAAACTGAATTTTAAAGCCAAGAATACAGACTAAACAGAATTAAGATTACTATTAAGATATGTTCTTTGGGGGCTGGGGATTTAGCTCTGCGGCACGGCGCCTGCCTGGCAAGTGCAAGGTCGTGAGTTCGATTCCCAGTACTGGGAAAAAAAAAAAAAAGATACATTCTTTTAAATGCAATTTTGTGAATCATTTTTAACATTCCTGAAATTTCTGTGAAAGCTAGAACTTTATACACTGAACAACTAGTATTTAGAAAGACAATGTATTCTGCTTTTCCAAAGATGGAATTTCTTTTAACCTAGTATGTTAAATTAATGACTCAGCAGGTCTGGACCATTCCCAGGAAATGATGGCTTAGATTACATTATGGAAACTCCAAGGCCTAGCTTGTTGTTAAACATTTAACAGGAGCCCCACAATTTCTCAATAAAGTATTTTCATTTTGCCATTCAAAATGAATTCGTCACTAGTTAGTGAGCATACGGAGCAGAAAGTTCCCTTTACTTGTGGTTTGTTTCTCCTACTTACATAAAAATCAGTCATAAAATTTTCTGAGAGATAAAAGTCACTTTACAGAGAAACATGGTTGAAATTAAAACTTATCTATCATATTTGAAATGCTTATTTAATGCATATTCAATTAATTTTATTTTATTTATAAAGTCCTATTAAAGCCCCATAACACAACTGGATTTAGGTGACATAAAATGTCTCAAATTCAAGAGAAACAAACAAACAAACAAACAAACAAAACAGACGAGAATACTTTAGCATAGCTGTGGACAATCTTTGTGGATTGTCTTAATCAGAAGGCAGTAACCTAAGGAAAAGGACACTTCCCTAATTATGCTTGTCTTCTACTTATGGAAAGGAATGCCTGATACATGACAAACAATAAGCATTTCTTAACCTAAAAAAATGTATGCTTTCAAGAAGTAAATGCATAAGAAAAATAGATGAAACATTTTAGTGGAGATATTTAAAATACTAACTTTAATGTAAGTTTTTTGTATTTAATGTTACATGAGCTGTATTGCTGACGTATATGTTCCAATTTAAAGAGAGGACAATTGGTAGGAAATATTTTCTACAAACGCTCTCTGAATTTGTTTGCCAGTTATCTCTTACTTGAATACAAAATCCATGCAGAAATTTTCTGTTCTGGATTGAGAGGGGCAGGAGCTCAATTTTTAGGGACTGTCATATTAAAGGGTGGTCCTCAGTTTTAGGGATGCAGTAGAGAATGGTGAAATTGGGGGGAGTTCAGTACACAGGGGGGTCACTGCTAAAACACTGCCAGTAGTTGCCATGTGACTATGTAAGCCAGAAGTTGCCAGAATGCTTAGCTTTTCATCCAGGTGTAATGAAGTAAGTCTATCTAGACACAGACAATGCAAAAACAAAACAAAACATAAATGATTAAAACATTATGCTAGTCAGCTTATCTGTGAACTAAATCTGGTCCATGGAGAGTCCAAGACCTTTGAACTAGACAATGACAGAAAACTCTTTTTATGCCATTTATATGTCAAACTCTTTTCATAGTACTTTACATGCATTCATTCATTTAAGTCTTATGACCACTAGTACAGGATCCCCACTTTATGAGTACTGAAACACAGGAAGGTTGAATCGCACAGTTTGTAAATGGAACAATGAGCCCAAGTGCAGTGGTATCTAGTGGTATCAAGTACAAAAGGTTCAGAGCACTTTTGTTTGCAAACAGTTTGGTTCACAAATAAAAATGTTTGGCAAAATTTTGATTTTGCTTGCAAACTGTGCATCAGGTGACAAAAGTGACCCTGGCCATCATCTTGACATAGACACAAACATAGCCATCCTCTCCAAAATCACTGAACAAATTGTTTGTGAGCCACTGTACTCTCGCTCCAGAT